ACTCTATCTCTCTATTCAAGCATCCTCAAGCCACGATTTGTGAAGCAAAAATGTAGTCTCTAGCATGGTGAAGCTGTACATATGCATAGTTGTCATTTATATTAACTGAGCTAAGAGAATTTGATTGTTGAACATGCTGGAAAAATTAGGTCAGAAATTAGGGGTTATAAAATTCTCTCTGATCTTTTAGAGTTAGATTACAAATTTTATATCATTGGAATCGTGAGATTATAAGCTACATGTTTTATGTTGCAAGTTTTTGTTTTTGTGCAAAGAATAGAGAGTTACAGGTTTGAACTCAAAATGCACGAAGGAGAGGCTGAAGGACAGGGGCGAAGCTTCATCTGGGATTTTTGTAACTTTGGCCTTTTTGTTTCTACTTTTTGCACCCTCCATGTTACTTTTGCACCCCAGTTGCATATTTTGTTTATTTTTTCATGTTTTCTTTTCATTTTTATATTTATTGTTTCTATTTATTTCTCTGAATCACAAAAATCATGAAAAATATTTTCTTTATTTTTTGTAATTTTATTTTATTTTATTATTATTTTTTGCATAAAAATAATAGCATATTAGGATAATGGACTTTATTTTCTTAAATAAATTGTAAATATATTTAATAAATACTATATATTTTTATTTTATTATTTTACACACAAAATATTTATTTTACACAAAAAATATTTATTTTCACACATATTTTAATTTTTAATATTTGTACATAATATTATTATTATTTTTCTTGTACAAAAAATGGACAAAATGATAATATAGAATATATATTTCTTTTAATCAAAAATCAGGGTTTCACCCCTTTCCAAAAATAATGATATTATTTTTCCTTATTTTCTAGGGTTTCATAAATCATTTTCTCATATGAAAAATCAAATATAAAATATTTTTGCATAAATACATTTGCATTGCATTTTAAGTACTTGTTTATTTATTTAATTTGCACTTAATTCAATTGGGTTGTAATAGTATTTTAGGGTTTATCTTTGTGTAATATCCCCATTCAAAAACTTGTATCCCCCCTTCCATAATAATTGTTGTAATAGTTTAGTTTATTTTTACGCAATTTATTGCTTTCATATACCATGATAGTAAATTAGGGTTCTTGCATGATAAGACAAAAATCAAACAAATAGAATGATCTAATACAAGATAATCAAAGGCATGTAAAATGACACACATTGCACACAAGTACCCTTAGGGTTCCACCCACTTGGTTGCCTAAACAAAATGGCCATGGTATGCATGCAAAGTATCTTGGTAAAGCTAAACAATACAAATAAGATCATAGTCCCTCAATGACGCTATCAAAAAGTTGCCTAAACAAATGATCTTGGTCCCTCAAAATGCTAAAGATACTTAGCAACATTGCTATCATGGTCATACGATGACCCACGCCCGTCCCGTTTAACATCCAAAGATAGGATTGTTTACCAAATCAATGGTAAATCAACAATGTCAAAGGAATAAAAATGCATAGGAAAGACATTTGAGTAGGGTAGATAGTTCCTAGTTACTTGCTCTCTTCAAAACAATCCTTGCTATTTTCAAAACAAATACACACACATTTCAAAAAAATATCCAAATAATCCTTGCTATTTTCAAGACAAACACACACACATTTCAAAACATTTTCAAACACCTTTCAAAACATTGAAACATTTTTCAAAAGACAAACATCTTTGTATACATTCTTACGAACGAGAATCATTACAAAGATTGCCTAAACGATGGCCTCTTTTCAAAATACTTTCAAAACCACATCAAACATAAAGCACCATTTCAAACAATTTCAAAATCAAAGCAAGTGATCTAAGAAAGTAACTAAGAGCCCATGGAAAACCATGGATGAAAAGGGTGCTAGCACCTTCCCTTTTCATAATCTACCCCCCGAACTCAAGAAAACATCTCAAAGGTCTTTCCTGTGCTTTTTTATCTTTCCTTTTGGATAAAATAAAAGTCAGTGGCGACTCTTGCTAAACCGCGACATTTGCAACGAAACGCAAAACCTCAAGTCAGTTCTCCCACCGTATCACACTGCCAAACTTTCCATTGAATATATTTTGTAAAGTTTTGTTAAAGCAAGGAACTTTTATTCCTTAACTTGCTAACAAGGAAATGTTGTTCGTAAACTTGCTTCTAACACTGTTGTGTTATTTCTTTGTATTTTAATTTGTATAAATCTGCTTTCTTATAAGCATCTTGTAAACACACAAACTTGTATTTCAACTTTGAGTTTATAGTTCCTTGAGAGTCTAGGACCTTAGTCTCGATTCTCAAGAAGACATTGACAGGTAGTCTTTGTGGTTGTAAATATTGACGAGTAGTCTTTGTTTGTGTATGTAATCAGTTTGGTTATAGTGGATTAAGTCCTTATTGAGAAGGCGAAATCACCTTGGCGGGTGGACTGGATTAACTTAGTTAACAGCGAACTAGGATAAAAATAATTGTATTCATTTATTTTTATTATTGTCTTAGCTTTGGTGTTTGGTTTCGAAAAGATTTCATTTCTAGAAACTCAATTCAAACCCTCATTTCTTGTGTTTCTCGCACCTTCAGGTTCCACTAATTAATACTAATTATCAATACAATTTGGCCTTTATCTTGTTTTCATGGTGAAATTTATAGTGATAGGGAGTGGAATGAACCTGACACACAAAATTGAAGAAAATATCAAAAGTTGCGAAAGGACTACTAAACGCGACACACAAGATACAAGGCTTGATGCATTTTCATGATAAAATCAAAGTTGGAAGCTACTAGAAAAAAATGTCGCTCCATATACATGGTGCGACGCATTACAGAAAATTAACAGAGTCAATGTCAATAAACATGACATGCTTTGAAAGCAATGTGTCGTGTTGTGTGATTCAACTTTTTTACCTTTGTACATTATTTTTGACCATGTCTGAGGTTTCGTAAGTCTAAGTGAGGCGAAACCATCATAAAGTGAAAGCTAATATCTAGGGCTATAATTATGCATGTAAAAGGATGGAAAATAAAGAGTTAAAATTTGACGTTGTTACAATGCTTAATAATAAAATTGGGACATTTTGTCATTTTCTATCAACCCTAAAATGCCACTACAAAGTTTATGAGAATCAAGGCAAGTGTTTCATAGTTCCAATTTTGTTCTAAAAAAGGGTTCTCGATTTCATCATAGAAGAGACATATTTTGAGAGTTTGTAGTATGGAGAAGAGAAGAAATCATCAAGAAATTCATCCCATTTAATTTTTTTTTCAATAGAAAAATAAAAACAATTGTAATATCATTGATACATAAATGAAAGACAATCGGACAACAAATTATGCCGCTACCTCTTTTTGAATGGTAAAATCAATCCTCTTAAAAATTATATTCATCGCTCTAAGAGACACAAAATTTTTAGGCATGACCTTTGAACTCTCTATAAAAGATGAAATCCCTCTAGTGCTAGGAAGACAAAAGTGTCAAATACAAATGGTATTAAAGTATATTAATTATTCAAACACATTTTTTCATATTTGATCACTTTACTTGAGGCAGCTTTGAGGATTTTCTGTCTTGCAGTAAAATCTTAAGCCCTCAATCTCACAATTGGAAAATCCTAGTCAAGTCCACGCGTGCATTTTACCCTCCTACTCACTTATATCCTAGAACATCAATTGTCTTAAGTGTCTACCTTCCATTTTATGGGTTGGTTAAAAAAATTTATAGACATCTTTTTCTTCACGATTATTTTCGTCTAAAATATGTCAAATAAGACATCCCTAACAAAGTCACGTCGATATTTGAATCATAAAAGTTCCCTATAATTAATCCCCTTAGGATAAGTGTTTGGTTTTCTTAGATTAGGCTCATTTAGATGAATTTTCTCTAAATTTGTGTGAACCATGTGATGTAATAATAAATCTCTTTAATAATTTAATAATTATTTGTGCTTCATTATTTTTTTGTTAGTTTATGAAATGAGTGAATCAATATAGATCGTGTTTGATAACTACCTTTAGATAATTCGACTTGATATAATAATAATGGGAGACTGTTTATATTGTTAGACGTAGTGTATACTCAGTCATGTCGTATGTATTTTAATGATCATTCAAATCTTAATCAGTTGAGACATCACCCAAGATATTGGAAGGTTGTCATCTGAAAAAGAGAGATATGTAGCAAGAAATTATGCATACTAGTTTGTTAAAATAGTTGTGATATCTGAAGAATAATTATGAACTAGTTTATGAATTTTTGTAGTTTCAAACGTTGTTATGAATTTCCCCCTGTGGTTTCTGTTTAGTGTAGATTTTGTTTTGTTTGGTTTATGTTTTCTGTTCTATTTTGTGATGACATGGAAGCCCAGGGATTTCACTTTCTTCGCCTTACAGTCCATCAACAATTTGAAATTCCACCCTTCGGATCCTCCCGAACATGGTATGGACACCATGACATTGTCTCACAAGAAAACAATAGTAACAAGAGTAAAACTAAATCAATTTCATTTAGAGACAAGTAAATTAGTTGTAGGCACAAAAGAAAGTATTGATATCTTAGCAGAGAATTCGGCTAAAGTGAAATTGATCAAAGAAAATAGGTTTTTGACTATGCTTTATGTGCATTCAAAGATCATGGAAGAATTATCTAGACCATGAAAATATGTTGTTGTCGTTAAATTTTTAGGTAAGATTCTGGATTTGAACATAATAAAAATCAAATTTGAAATAATGTGGGGCCTAAAAGGGATGATATATTTTATGGATATTGACAGTGTTTTTTGTATAATTAAATTTGATGGGGAAAATGACAAAGCTAAGGTGTTTAATGGTGGGACTTGATTTATAACCATTATTTAAGATAATGGGTGCCAAGTTTTAATGCATCAACAACTATCATTGATTAAACCATGGTTTGGATTCGTATCCCAAGCTTAAATATTGTGTATTCTAATAAGTGTGTTCTTTGAGTTATTGCTTTCATGTTTGGAAAATCTATTAACGTGGATCTTCATACTTTAAATGTGTCTCGAGAAATATTTGTGTATATATATATATGTGTTAAGATTGACTTTCACAATTTCGTACAAGTCGAACTCGCTCAATTTTAGGTATGGGTAGAGGTGAGCTACTTGTGCCTTGACTTTCTTAAAGGCCTTATCAACAACGTCAACTACATCCTCTTTAGTATTGGCTATATCTTCTTCCAGTTTTTTCTTGTGGGAATCCCTTTCATTGGTGGGCTCTTTCAACATTTTGAACTCATATTTTACTTGGGAGAGCTTATTGCCAAGCTTCTTGGCGGCTTCATCTTTCTTTTTTTTCACCTCCTTCAGCTCGTCCACAGAGTGTTGCGCCTCATTCACGCTCTTCGGCGGTGGACTTCAACAATTTTTGGGTCTGGGTGAGTGTCTCCCGCATGGTATTCAACTTGTACTTTAGATCCACAACGGATATATCTAACTGGATGTAAGCATCGAATATTAGAGGCTCCAGCATGAACCTCTTTAGCATATCGGTCTCTATTAAAATGGACATCTTCCCAGAACCCAATGGAGTTTCCATTTTATAATCATTGGGGAAATCAGATGAAAAGTTAAAACGCTCTCGCACATGACTCCAAGCATCAAAGTCCTCATTCTAGAGGGACGGAGCCGCCTTGCTCCCCAAGAGATCCGAGGAACTGGTTTCCATCGTGGGTGTTCCAACGAGACCCGCAGTTTCTTGGGCGTCCAACTTTATAGTCTCGTCGAGCTAGAAATCTTTATGTTTTTTACTCTGGACCAAAGATGAGGCCCCTTCAACCAAACCATACTTGATATTATTTAAAGGCCTGGGAAAAAGAATAGTCGCCCTTTTAATCTATCTCTTTTTCCCCCTTGCCCAAAATCCATCAAGGTGACTCTTAGGATCATTGGACCACTTGTCGTTCTACTAAGCTTTCTTCCTATCATTAAGGGCATTTCTCTCGGTAATGGATATTAGAGTCATCCTCTCTGCAAACAATGAAAAAACATTAATTAAAATAAACAATTCAATTACAACTCACAGATGAACACGAAACTTACGCAAATAATATGTGATCTTCTTCTCATGGTCATCGCTTTGAAGACGTGTCATGCCACATAATAGGAGAAAAAACAAGTCATGTCATAACTTCGTGGAGGAAACCTCTCTTTCTATGAAGAAGGGAGGATTGGGTGTCCCTATCTCCATGTTTCATCCAAACAGTTGGGGTTGGAATTTGTTCTTCGCCCTGGAAACTATAAATATCTCAACCCCTATAATTAGTAGGGAGTAAACAATGTAAAATTAAAATTAGGACCGATCATGTTGGAGAACAACAAACTCTACAGAACAAGGCCTCAAATTTTGGAAGGTCCAATTTTTTTCCATTAATATTAATAGACAAAAAAAATACTATAATAAAAATTCAATGAATAAAAAAATGTTATGATAAAAACTCAACGCATTAAAAAAAATAAGATTGATCAAAGTCAAAATAATTATAAATAAATTTATTTTTTATTATTATAATATAATTATATTTTTTATATGTTAATTTTAATTATTATAATTACTTTCTTTTTTTAATTTAGGTTATTTTTTAAATTAGAATGGAACTTCTGAATTGATTGGGTGGGTCTGTTTAAAATGCTAAAGATATAAAGGGTTGCTCTTTGCACCTTTATGGTGCCACCCACACCCCTAAAAATTCAAATATACCTCTCATGTGTTTGGAAATATATATTTGAATGTATTTAAAATTTCACTAACAAAGGTATTATAAGTGAGACATTTTTTTTTCCCAAAAAATTATCGGAAAATGCACATTTGAAATCTCTCCTGTATCATCTTTTTATTTTAGGAGCTTGCAGCCAAAAATGAAGGTCGCCCTTCTTACCAAATTAAGGGGATATAAAACTGATTTGAACAATTTGAAAAATGAAGTTAAAAGAATCACATCAGTTAATGTCATCACAAGTTCTTGAGATGAGTTGTTGGAATTAAGAAGGGTTGATTCACTTGCGGTATATCTCTTATCCAAGCTTCCTCACTTATTTATAGATGTGAGTCTTATTCTTTTCAAACCGTTAGCTTAGATTAATGTTACACTAAGAAGATGAATTATATAGTGCTAAATGGGTAACTCATCTGATTTGGGTTAAGGGTTAAGTTAAAAGAGTTAAAGAACTGAGATTAAAATCTTATAAAGGAGAAACTAACACATGAAATATAAAAATTAAAATACGATACATAAAGATTCTGAATATGTATCTTTAAAATATCTAAAGATATGTATTTTTGAAACTCAAAAATATATTTTCGGACAAATTTTTTAAACAAAATAAAGTTGTTTCACATGTGAAATGCTCAAATGTATATGAAAAATTAGGAGGAACAATTGACTTTTGTTAAAACTACCTTCTTTTACAAAATGTGAAATGAATATTTTTTATTCAAAAATTAGAAAAATAAGTGAAGTAGATGCCAGGTGTTTGCACAGCCCCTATATCTAACTAATATAATAAATACTTTTTTCCTTTGGTTATTATTGATTGAGATTGAGATGCACATTGTAAGGTCATTGTGGAGTTAATTGGCACAACTACTAATATGCCTAACTTATGCTTTCAAATGTAAATCAATACTATACCTTTGAATTATGTGCCTGCCTCCACCTTTGACTTACTGAAATTTGCATTAAAATCCCCATTTCTGAATTCTAAAATAACAAAAAGAAAATGAACATCAACACTTCATGTCTAATCTCCAAGAAAATAGCATTCAAATTCATCTATGGTTTTCTTCTATACATTACCAAATATCATCACACTTCAACTGCATCATCAACCTTGCAAGGAAATGAAACTGATTTACTAGCTTTACTTGACTTCAAGACTAGAATAACTCAAGATCCATTTCACACACTGAGTTCATGGAATCATTCCATCCACCACTGCAACTGGTTTGGAATCACTTGTAACATCTCCAATGGAAGAGTCATCCATATGATCCTTCCAGACATGTTACTAGCAGGAACTCTTTCACCATCCATAGGAAATCTTACATACCTCACAAAACTCAACCTTAGAAACAGTAGCTTCCATGGAAAGTTTCCTCAACAAGTTGGAAACTTACTATATCTTCAACATATAAATATCAGTTACAATTCTTTTGGTGGAACCATTCCAAGTAATCTAAGTAACTGCATAGAGTTAAGTATATTAAGTTCTGGTCATAACAATTTCACAGGAAAAATTCCAACATGGATAGGAAATTTTTCTTCTTTATCTTTACTCAATCTTGCTGTGAACAATTTCCATGGAACCATACCGAACGAGGTAGGAAAGTTATCGAGCCTAACACTTTTCGCGATAAATGGAAATAACTTGTATGGTAAGATTCCTGCTTCAATTTTCAATATTTCCTCCTTGTACTTTCTCACCTTCACTGAGAACAATCTGCATGGTAATTTACCTTTTGATGTTGGTTTTACTCTTCCTAATCTTGAAACGTTTGCTGGTGGAGTCAACCATTTCACTGGAACAATACCTGAATCACTTTCGAATGCTTCAAGATTGGAAATTCTTGATTTTGCTGAAAATGGTTTCATTGGAACACTTCCTAAGAACATAGGAAGGTTGAAACTGTTGACAAGACTCAACTTTGATACCAATAGGCTTGGAAATGGAAAAGATGCTGATCTAGATTTTATTACTTCATTGATTAATTGTACTGTTCTTGAAGTTTTAGGCCTTGCTGAAAATAATTTTGGAGGAGAATTACCGAAGTCGATAGCTAACCTTTCAATACAGTTGAATGAGCTTGCATTAGGTACAAATGCTATATATGGAAGTGTCCCTATTGGAATAAGTAACCTTGTTAACTTGACAACTTTGGGATTGGAAAATAATTTCCTAAGTGGTTTTGTTCCTTACACAATAGGCATGCTTCAAAATTTGGTTGATTTAGAATTGTATAACAACAATTTTTCTGGTTTGATCCCTTCCTCTATAGGAAACTTGAATAGATTAACAGTGCTACTAATAGGGGATAACAATTTTGAGGGAAGTATACCAGAAAGTATTGGAAATTGTCGAAACTTGTTGCGGCTAAATTTGAGCCATAACAAGCTCAATGGTACCATACCAAGACAAGTATTTTCCTTGTCTTCTCTTTCAATATACTTAGACTTGTCTCATAATGCTCTCATAGGGTCCTTGCCTTTTGAAGTAGGTAATCTGGTTAATCTAGAAGAGTTGGATCTGTCGAACAACAAATTGTCGGGCGTGATTCCGTCCACGCTTGGAAGCTGTGCTAGTTTGGAAGGGTTGCATATGCAGGGTAACTTTTTTGAAGGTAATATTCCTTCAAGTATATATAATTTGAGAGGTATTCAAGATATTGATCTGTCATGCAATAACTTGTCGGGGAAGGTTCCTGAATTTCTCGGTGAGATCATGGGGCTAATGCGTCTCAATCTTTCTTACAACGATTTCGAGGGAGAATTACCGATGAACAGAATCTTTGAAAATGCAACATCTTTTTCAATTGATGGAAACATTAAGCTTTGTGGTGGTGTCTCAGAATTAAACCTACCTTCATGCACTATGAAAAAATTTCATAGCCCCAAAGTGATTATCCCTATAGTTAGTGCACTAGTATTTGTAATTTTTCTATCTTGTTTCGTAGCAATCTTTATGAGGAAAAGATCAGGAAAGAAAACTTCAAGAGAAAGAGTTACTGCAAAGGAATTGGAAGTGAATATTTCCTACTCGGAAATTGTAAAGTGGACGGGTGGATTCTCCGAGGATAACTTGATTGGCACGGGAAGTTTTGGTTCTGTATACAAAGCAACTCTTTTAAGCGACGAAACAATCATTGCAATAAAAGTATTGAATCTTGAACAGATAGGAGCTTCGAAAAGCTTCATTGATGAATGCAATGTTCTGAAAATTATAAGGCACCGCAACCTACTCAAGATCATAACCGCTATCTCAGGTATTGATCATAAAGGTAATGACTTCAAAGCACTTGTGTACGAATTCATGTCAAATGGATGTCTAGAAGATTGGTTGCATCCTAAGAATCAGACGAGAACACTGTCTTTTGTGAAAAGACTAAACATAGCAATTGATGTTGCTTGTGCACTTGAATATCTTCACCATTCTTGCCAAACTCCTATTGTTCATTGTGACATTAAGCCAAGCAATGTACTTCTTGACAAAAATATGGTAGCCCATGTTGGTGATTTCGGTTTAGCAACATTTCTGTTTCAAGAATCATGTGATTCTCCTAAACATTCAACAATGACTGCGAATCTAAAGGGCTCTATCGGATACATCGCTCCAGGTATATTTACTATCTTACTAGTTCTATACAGTCGTTTTAAGTTTTTGGAGGCTCTGTATTGATTAATTATGATCAAACTGTGATTAACTCGGTTAAAAATGATGCAGAGTATGGAATGGGTGGACGCGCGTCTGCGGTTGGAGATGTTTACAGTTATGGGATACTAATGCTAGAGATATTCACAGGAAAAAGGCCAACAGATGAAATGTTTGAAGGCGGCATCGGAATTCAACAATTTACAGCCTTGGCTTTACCGAATCATGCTATAGATATAATTGATCCTTCATTATTGCTACAGGATGAAGAACTCGATCGATATAACGAAGATTACAGTGATGAGATAGCATTAAGATATGAGAATGAACCTGGAGAGTTGGCTAGTATGGAGAATTGTTTGGTTTCTGTGTTGCAGATTGGAGTGTCATGCTCTTCAATCTCACCAAGTGAAAGAATACATATGAATGAGGTTGTCAACAAATTGCAAGCAATCAAGAACTCATATTTAAAACTTAATGAGTTAAATTAGCATTGATGAAGAATGAAAAAGAAGGGAAAATGCTTTTGTAATTAAACTAAATGTAAAATAATATTTATTAATAAAAAATGAATTTCTTTATCATGTAACATTGACAACTCTGAAAAAAAAATAATTAGATTTTATTTTTTAATTATTAACAGTCTTTTTTAATTATTAACAGTCTTGCATGTTAGTGTTAGTGTAAGAGTCGTGTTCGGGCAGAAACACTTTATCTTGAAATTTTAATTTTTAGCTTGAATGCTGCTGACATAGTGTGAATTTGTATATACCTAAAACTGTTAAGTCTAAATATTTGTGTTTGACTTTAGGAGGTATTTATTTCAAAGTTGTAAAACTTATTTTTTTTAAATATTAAAGTTATAACAATAAATTCCTATTTTTGTTTTAAAAATATAAATAATTTTATATTTAAAATATTTCTAAAAATAAACATAATTTTTACATTCTCATGTTTTTTTGGGTTATATATTCTCCTGTTTTTATTTCTAAAAAGTAATAGATTGGTATAAATAATTCTTATGAAACTGGTTTAAATCTAGAATAAAATTTCAAAAAACAACTGAAAGATTAAATGAGTTATTCAGATCTAATATAAAAAAATAAGAATATCTAAAATCATTTGCAGATAATTTTTTTACAGAGTATTATACTATTCTTACATTTTTCTAAAAAAAAAAATCGTTAAATTTCAGTTTTTTCTTCTCAAGTTTTTTTTTCTTAAATTACTAAAACAATTCTCTAAGTTTTTCCATTTTTTATGATTCTCTCAGGTCATTGATTTTTTTTTTCTTAAGCTTTCTCATAAGTCTTCTCATTCGTGGTTTTAATTCTTAATCTCAATTTCTCATTTCTCTTTCAATGGCTTTCTTCTACAACTTCAATAATTTAATGAAGGTTAATTTTTCATATTTTATTCAGTGAAATATTAGATTCCTGATAATTGAATGTTTCCTCTTTGTGGGTATGGATTGCTTCTACAAGTTAACCCTCTATAGAGATTTTACTTTTATATATATATATATATATATATATATATATATATATATATATATATATATATATATATATATGAATTGCAGGTCTTTTGTTTAAACAAAAGGAATTTACACATGAGAGGAAAAGATTTCTTTTAGACAAAGTATAAATTGTTTCTTTATGATCAAGAAACAAACAGTGTAGGAAAGGTGATAGAACCTGAAGAACAACAAGGAATTTGTTATAATTGTTATTTTTTACTTATCTTTAAACAATATTACAAGTATACAAGAATAACAAATAATCATCTCACTCTAAATTAAGATTTGTTGTATGCAATGATGAGAGACTAGTATGTTATTTATAATAAATCTAACATACTAAACTAATGGGCTTTTTCACAAATACCCATTACAAGCTAACTTAGGATACAAGCTAACTTACACAGTTAGACATAACAAACAGGGTCAATTCGACATGCTAACAACCCTAGAATTTTCGACAACTGTATGCTTGACCATACTTCGATTACAGCATACACTTCTTCGACACCAGCATGTGAGCGACCTTTGACTGCATGCTAACCTCTATCGAAATTTTCGAACCATAAAGCTACCCTTCGACTCAATAGAGTTCGATCCAATATCTTCCACAAATCTCCACCTTGGAACAAACTTTACTTCATCAAGAAAACACACTAGCTTTCTTCATGCAGCTTTATCAACTGCATACAGTGGAAAAACTTGTAACCTGTCAATGTCTTGGTGATCATATCAACAGCATTGTAATCCTGTCGAAACCTTCAGCACTTGGACTTCTCCATGCTCGATTATCCCTCTGACGAAATGCAGCCTCACATCGATGTGCTTGGTTCGCTCATGATAGGCTAAGTTCTTCGACATGTGTATTGCACTTTAACCATCACATTTAACAGTGATAACTCTGTCTTGAAGTTTCAGCTTCTTAGCGAAACCTTCAAGCCATAGTGCTTCTTTCACAACTTCGGTGATGGCGATATATTCCGCTTCAGTGGTTGATAAGACTATAACCTTCTGAAGTGTCGCTTTTCAACTAATTATTGTGTCAAACATAATGAAAAACATATCTAGAAATAGATTTTCTGGAATCTATACAACCTGCATAATTAGAGTCGACATATCATTCGATTATTGCTTTACTATCTTCACCAAAGGCTCCACCATAGATTAAAACTTTGTTCAGAGACCCATTTATGTACCTTAGAATCCACTTCAATGCTTTACAGTGAGCCTTTCCAGGATTCTCCATGTACCTGCTTACAAGACTTACTGCATATGTTATGTCTGGTCTAATATAGACCATAGCATACATCAAAGAACCTACTATATTAGCATATGGGATGCTATTCATATAATCTCTTTCGACATCAGTATTGGGACACTGATATATACTCAGTTTAAATTGAGGATTTATTGGAGTACAACAGGTTTTGAATTTGACATACCAAACTTGTCGAGAATCTTCTGTAGATATACCTCTTGAGATAAGCATAATTTTGACTGTTTTATCTCTTCAGATGTCAATCCCAAGAATCCTAGATATAACTCCTAAATCCTTCATGTCGAACTCCTTATTGAGTTCATCCTTCACCCTCATTGCATCTTTGACATTGTTGCTTTCTATTAGAATGTCATCCACATAAAGCAACAAAATAACAAATGAATTACCAGGTTGAAATCTGAAGTATACACAATGGTCTAACTGACTTCTAGTGAAACTTATGTGTGCCATGAACTTGTCAAATCTTCTATTCCACTGTCGAAGAGATTATTACAGTCCATATAAAGATCTCATTCAGCTTGCACACATATTCTTCCTTCCCCTTTTCCACATACCCTTCAAGTTACCTCGTCAGAATTTTTTCATCTAGATCACCATACAAGAACACAGTCTTCACATCCATTTGTTCCAGTTTAAAGTCGAATTGTGCAACCATGGAAAGCAGCATTCGAATAGACTTGTGCTTCACAACAGGAGAGAACACATCATTAAATTAGACACCTTCTTTCTGAGTGAAACCCCTTGCGGCCAACCTTTCCTTGTATCTTTTTGACGCCACTCCTTCGATTCCTTCATTAACTTTGAAAATCCACTTACAACTGACTAACCTGACTCCAACAGGTTTCTTGATCAATTTCTAAGTGTTGTTATCATGAATATATTTCATCTCATCATCCATGAACTTCATCCATTCAGTATTATTTAGACTCCTCATAACTTCCTTATGTTCTCTAGATTCTTCGTCTAGAGTCTCACTTGCAGAGATTAAGACATAAGCTATAAGATTTGCATACCCAAGTCTTTGATGTGCCTTGATGACTCTTCTCGACCTATCTCTAGCCAATAGGTAGTCATCGACAGTTTCTTCAACATCTTCTACTTCTTCTTCAACTTCATCTGGGATACGCAATTTAGCATCAACATGCTCCACCTCAACAGGAATCTCTCCCTGTTCCATCTCTTTGTCAGATATTTCTACACTTCGACCAACATCATCAGTTTTCTTGAAAGCCATTTCAGCTTCATTGAAAACTACATCTCGATTGGTGATACAGCTTCTATGACCTGGCTCTAGGGACCATAGCATATAAGTTTTGACTCCTTCAGAGTATCCTATGAATATGCATCTCAGAGCTCTAGGTTCGACCTTATCTTGTCTAATGTGAGCATAGGCTACGCAACCAAATATTCTCAGTTTGTCGAGATCTGGTGAATGTCTGGACCAAACTTCTTCAGGTGCCTTAATGTATAATGCATTCGAAGGACATCTCTTTATCAGATATGTTGCTATCGAAACAGCCTCAGCCCAAAACACCTTCTTTAACTCAGCACTAATCAACATGCACCTAACTCTCTCCAAAATAGTTTGATTAAACCTTTCAGCCAAACCATTTTGTTGTGGAGTAGCTGCAGTAGTTTTATGCCTTGCAATACCAGAGGAAGCACAAAAGTTGTCGAAAGCCTCATTGCAAAATTCAAGGCCATTATCGGTTCTCAACCTCTTGACCTTTCTGCTAGTCTGATTTTCGACCAGAGTCTTCCAATTTTTGAAATTCTAAAAAGTTTCATCCTTAGTGTTCTGGATGAATACCCATAACTTTCTGGAATAATCATCAACTATGGATAGAAAATACCTTGCTTCTGAATGTGATGGATAACTTGCAGGCCCCCAAAGATCAGTATGGATGTAATAAAGGGATCCATATGTTCTTTGTTTGCCCCTGTTGAACTTCATTCTGCAAGATTTTCAAAGTACATGTGTTTCACTTCAACGTTTCGACATTGTCTCCACCAAGCAAATTTTGTTTCCCCAATTCGATCAGACCATTTTCACTGACTGTTACACCCCAAAATTTTCCCTTCTAATTTATTTTATTTGGCTGAGGCTTTTGCATTCATCCTCATTTACTCCATTAGGTCACAAACATGGCATATATTTCATTTAATATAGCTCTTGGTTCAAAGTTCAGTGGTTGTGAGATATTAGGGTTTCGCAGTGATTAAGGAGTTTGTATCCAATAAAGGCTTATTTCTTATTCAAGCAGTGAACTGTGGAATTAGGGGATGTGATATGGGTCACTGAGAATTTATTTCTTCATCAAGCTAAGAGGCTATCATGGTTTATTTTCATATGTGGGATCAAAGCCAGGTTTTCGACAATTGTGCTCCAATTGAGTCCTTCTCCAAGGATCATGGTTTAGGGTTGCATCTTATGGCTATCTAGAGTCTTTTTCATTCAGAATTAAGGACCTTCATTCGTTACTTATGTTACAAGTTATGTCAGCACTTCTTGGGCTTTCTTACAAAGGCTTGACTTTCATTGAAAGCTTCCTTTTTATGAGATGAGTGTTTGGTTTCATCCATTAAGGACTAAATTTGATTTGGAATCAACGTTTGGGGTTGGTGTTCATTCAAGTTTTCTAAAGATGTTAGTTGAATAAATATGTTTGAAGCTTGTAAGAAAGTAGGTGAAA